ATTCTATAGAAAAGCTAAATATATGTCCTTTTTTTGTCTTACTCTGAAACCTATGCTAATAGTACAACGATAACTCATTCTGAACTATCTTCGGAACAATTATGATAGTTATAGTTTTACAGTTATACAGTTATAACAGTTATACAGTTATGACAGTTACAGTTATAACCGTTACAGTTAACCGTCCAAAAACTGTAACTGGTGCATGCCTATTGTTAGCTCTTTCAAGCTTTCGTAAAGGAAACAATGCCGTCAACTTATCCTGCTGTTTCTACCTCAAGGTAATTTTACATATATTCCTACGATCAAAACCGCTGACTCTTTATTATTCATTTTTCAGTCAAAATCAACGACTAAATAATATCCTTTGTCATCAGTATTCAAAACGTTTTTGAAGTGCATAGGTTGATTTATTCGAAGAAGCAAAATATGAACAGTACATCAAATACAAACAAATATGGACAATGCATATAACAGTTAGACGTAAAATGCTTTTTAGTGGAGGGGTCATCGACAAAAAGTGTCAGTAAGTATATTACATAAATACCAGAAATGCATTTTTTTTAATCAATCAACCGTAAGAAGCGAGATATACCTTCTTGATAACAGGTATAAAACAGTGACTTATATTCATTTAAAAGGCTTCTCTAAAGTGAACTACTGTTGATATTTGTGCACTACACTAAACCATAGCAAAATCATATAATGAAATTATCTCATACTGTATGGATATGTTTGACGATTTATATTTTATTTCATACAGGTAGAAAACACGTTCTAATTATTACATAAAAAGAAGTACAGTTATAGAGTACCCTCATATAGTGTAAAGACTATATACTGGCTATGAAAATTGGTTTGAGAATTTACATAACAACTACACACACGTATATTTCTTCTATTGCTTCTACAGTCGCATTTATGCCTAGTCAGTATCGCCAGTTATTCAAGTAATCTTCATTTTCTCCCCGTAGGGTCTGTTGTTGATGGTAAAACATACTATGTCTCAAAATCGGGTAATGATAAGAATTCTGGGCTAACAGAATCCCATCCATTCAAAACGATTCAACATGCTGCAAATGTTGTTGTGGCTGGCTCCGTTGTGAATGTCAAAGCGGGTGAATATGACGAAACAGTCGTAATCCACATTCAAGGAAATTCGAAAGATGGTTACATCACATTTCAAAATTATAAACAGGACAAAGTAATTATTACCGGTAAAAGTGCCAAAACACCTGCACCTGATGGGTCACTTTGCATTATTTATTTGCAAAATAAATCGTATATAAAAATTATCGGATTTGAGATAAAAACATTGAAAGCAACTGATGGATCTGGAATTCGAATTAATGGTGCAGGTAGTCATATAGAAATTAGATCGAATAAAATTCACGATATTCGTGGAGGTGGAAAATCAGGAGGTGCGATGGGTATTACTGTTTACAACACCAATGCTAAAATGTCACTGTCACAAATAATTATCGATTCGAATGAGGTATACGACTGTGATCCAGCTTGGAGTGAAGCACTAACATTGAATGGAAACATTGAGCAATTTCAAATAACTCGTAATCGTGTTCACGATGTGAACAATATTGGAATTGACATGATCGGTGGTGAATCATGGACTGGAAAACAAATCGTGAGGAATGGTATATGTGCTAACAATACGGTGTGGAATATTCATTCTGTCTATGATCAAAGTGCAGCTGCGATCTATGTTGATGGCGCAAGAAATATCACAATACAATACAATGAAGTTTATCGGTCGGATTTCGGTATGGAGATTGGAGCAGAAAACAAAGGTATTATTGCATCTCAAGTCGTTGTTAAAAATAATTTCATTCATGATAATGACCAATTAGGTTTAGCATTTGGTGGCTACGATTCAAAGTAAGTGGATACATTTGTATAATTGTAAAAAAGATATCGAAAATCTATCTTTAGACGTGGTCGTGTTCAAAATTGTATATTTGAATATAACGTCCTTCAATCAAATGATCGAAAACATTCGGGTTTTGGAGAAATTGTGGTGTCTTTCGCAAGTAAAAATAAAGTCCAATACAATGTAATTCAACCAAACGATCAAAATATTGTTTTATCCACGAATGCGGCTGGAAATGTGAATAATATATTTGATTATGATCGATATATACTTCGAAATGGAAATACTGCTGATGATCTCATATTCGAGTGGGGTAACAAGAAGTATAATGGTCTATCAAGGTTTCAAAAAAAAACGAAACAAGAACTGCATGCAGTTGTTCGTACTTGAAAAATATAGTGAGGAGATGTAGACGTAAAATCGGTAGATCTTACTCCGTTGTGATATTAATGACTAGAGTGACATTTTAGCTGCAACGATTTTGAAAAAAACGTTATTGATTAGATTGTTTTACTCTGCTTGCCTACTATCGTCGCCAAAATATAAGGCACTCGATTGTTTTTCGAATAACTCCAAAACGATAAAAGATAGAGATCTACGGTTTTCAAAACTCGAAAGAGGACAGCTTTACAAATACTTTCACAAGCTAAAGCACTATCCGAAAATATACGCAAGATCGGTTTTCTACGAGATCTTTGGAAAACTAGTTTGGATTTCAGGTAACTGACATAGTATTCTATCGATTTTTTCACATGGACAGATAGTTCAAAGTGTCTTCTACAAAGTTTTATTATGTTCTAATGGAATCACTGGGTTAGGACATGGTGGGCGCAAAGGCTAGACGTGAGCTTGTGTTTATTCTTTGATTTTTTACTGGACTTTTTCTGCATTCCATGCTACTTTATGCGGCTTTCCTGGAATAACAAGTCATTGAATAAGAAAAAGATAGCTGATAGAAATTCACGAGTTGTCGCCGGGTAACCTTTGAGCCTAGCGCATCTTGAACAAGTCATTGTGGTCTTTATTATTTGCCACCGAATAACTAAAGAAAAATCAGTATTGCTGATCTTTCGCACCCTACTATTTTTGCATGAGGTGTTACCTTTTAAAGGAGAGATATAAGCGTTTCATTAATAATTTTAGCATTGCGTTCAAGAAAAATTTTATTTGGCGAAAACGCGTAAACTTTTTAGTTAATACAAAATTTTGTAGATATCTGGTTGAATAAGTTTGCAAAGTTTTGTTTTCTGTAAAAATCCACAAAAAAGATGTCACAGTTTATACAAAAACAAAATTTTGCAAACAATGACAAAAACATTATCGGCAAAATTCTGTATTATCATTCGTTCCAGCAGTCAAGGCACTCGGTTGGTTTTTGAATAACTTTTGATACGAACAAGATGAAGACCTACGGTTTTCGCCATTCGAAAGAGAAGACTGGGATGCATGCTTTCATAACCAATATCATTTTCAGACGGGTTTTTTGAAATAGGTTTCCTAGGACATCTTTGGAAAACTACGTCGTCTGTAAAGATTTTCCAATAGGATTGTATTGCTTTTTCTTATGGACTGATAGCTCAGGGTGTCCTCTTCAAAATGGAAGTAAAGTGAGACCTTGATTTTTCACGGTTCGGGCGTTGTATCAAATTTTCTACAAGTCCCAGGACTGGCACCCGGTGACTATTGGTAGCCTTAAAAACTGATGGACTACGGGTAATCGACCATGCTAAGTTTCGTGGAAATATTTATTTTTAGAAAAAGTTTTATAAATCTAACGGAAAGCCAGTTTTACGAAAATTAGGGTTTTCAGGTTGTTTTCACCTAATATTAAAAAATTCACTATTCAGTTAGAAAACATTGGAACAAGCTCAAAACTTCACAATGTAGAGTATTTAAGTTATTCTATATCCTATTCATAGGAGATCTCAAAATAAATTTTACAGAGCTCTTAGAATTTCCAAAAGGGTTTCTGGAAACCTGTTAACAAAAATATGCTTTTAGATCTTTTCCATCTTTTAATCACATTTAGCGGACAACATTAATCATATCCTAAGAATTTGAGCTTGTTCGCATGCTTTTTAAGTGAATAGTGAATTTTTTAATATTAGGTGAAAACAGCCTGAAAATCCTAATTTTCGTAAAACGGGCTTTTCGTTAGATTTTTAAAACTTTTTCTAAAAATAAATATTTCCACGAAACTTAGCATGGTCGATTACCCGTAGTCCATCAGTTTTTAAGGCTACCAATAGTCACCGGTGCCAGTCCTGGGACTTGTAAAAAATTCGATACAACGCCCGAACCGTGGAAAATCAAGGTCTCACTTTACTCCCATTTTGAAGAGGACACCCTGAGCTATCAGTCCATAAGAAAAGCAATACAATCCTATTGGAAATTATTGAAAACCTAAAAACTTGTTATCACTTTTTAGATACCTCTATCGCCTCAGGAAAGGCTTATTTCATTTAGATATAGGTCCCTAAGAGCCGTTGAGCTTCTGCAGCGTGAATAGAGGTATTTAAAAGGTGGTAACAAGTTTTTAGGTTTTCAATGGTGAATTTTCACTAAAAACTGTCTAAATCATAAAAAATTCATATCTTGCAAAAGCTTTGGTTTATAAGCCTAAAAGTGTCGCAGTGAGTAGACAACATCTATGTTCAACTGTGGTGTAAATTTTCGACTCCTAGCTGATCATGGTCGTGAGCTATTAATTAATTATTATTAATGGCATTTTCATTAATTAACTCATATCTCCGTCAAAAAGGCGCATGGACCCAAACCAACTTGGAGTTTTTCACTACTGACTATTCCCTACATGATGAAAATAGTCTGAGTCGAAAAGCTTTTAATTAACTCGAGAGGTTCCGTCGTCAGAGTATGGGCTATTATAATCACTATAGACTTTTCCTTGAACTAGTTACAGATAATCGAAAAAAAGTGAGGGTTTCACCTTTATTTGCTTTTCTTTGCAGATGGTTTAGTATATATTTTTTCTGCCACAGAACTACTTACCAAGTCCTCATTTGAACATAGATGGATAATTTGAGGTATCCTCTATCCAATACAGCCAAAATAAAGATTTCAAAATCAGATTAAACGGACAGAGATGTGTGGACAAAGTGTCTAAAGACGAATTGACGAATCACAACTTTTAAGCGTAAAAATGATGCAACAATTCGCGTTTTACCCTTA